CGCTTCAAGGTGCTAGTCATTACTTTTAAAGCCCTACATGGCTTAGGACCTGGATATCTGAGAGACCACCTCCTGCCACATACCTCCCAACGACCAATAAGATCTCATAGGTTGGGCCTTCTCCGGGTGCCGTCGACTGGACAATGCCGGCTGGTGGCCCCTCGGAGGAGGGCCTTCTCTGTAGCTGCTCCGACCCTGTGGAACGATCTTCCCGTAGAGATCTGGACCCTTCCCACTCTCTCGGCCTTCCAAAAAGCCACAAAAACCTGGTTGTTCCGGCAAGCCTGGGGCTGTTGATCAAGTTCCAGCCCCACTTAAACGGAATGTTTGGTGTGTTGTTTTTTAAATTGTATCTCCTCTTTATTTTAACTTTTACTTTTATTTTTGTTTCTGTAAGCCATCCAGAGTCCTACGGGATTGGGCGGCATATAAATTTATTAAATTGCCAAATTGCTAAATTAACTGGGTGGGTAAATTTTGTAGTCTTTTGATGCCATAATTTTGTTTTCTAGGAACTCACAGTGGTACCTGGAATAATATTTTTCACTAACTGATTAGCATAATAATATACTAATTATTAGTATAATTAGTATAATGCAGTACCTCTTTAGGTCTCCTTGGATTTTTTTTTAATCGACTTGATTATGTTCAATGTGAGCAAAATGTTCAGACCATAAACATACATGGAGATGTGTTTTGATTTCTATTGCTTAAGGCCAAAATCTTTTTTTCTCAAATACTGATTAAAATTAGAAATCAGTCTGTCAGTTGAAACATTTTTGTTAGTTAATCATCTGTCTCTGCTAATGAAACAATGAATTAATCAAAAGTTGCTGCATTAATTTTTTAATCTTGGCCAGCATTGTAACTATTTTGATAAACTATTTTTAAACAAGCTAATTTAAAATGTTAAAGAAATAAACACTTTAAGGCTAGTTTTTAACATATGTTTAATATATGTTACTTCCATTTCTCCTGAATTAGAGATAAGATATACACCAAAGTAAATAATTAACAAATAATAAAATGCCTTCTTATCTTTAATGCAAATTATTTTTATTTTGTCAGGACAAAGACCTAAAGCAATATATGGATGACTGTGGGAACATTATGAGTGTTCATAATGTAAAAGTGAGTCCTAATCTCTAATTTTCAATTTGAATTTTTCTGAATACAAATGCTATCCATATTCATACATTTTTCTAAATATTTTTTCCTTTAGAAAATGGATTTCATTATTAAAATGTATTTAAACATTGACTATGAGAACCTGATTCATTGAAATAAATATGTAAAAATTTGATTTTATAAATTGGTTCTTGTCTTCCAATAGACTTTTTTTTATACTGTTATACTTTCTTTCAAGTAAGAGTAGTGTGCTCAATAAACAACAGCTGACAGAATAAATGTGGTTGACAGCATAATGTACTAGAACATCATGAGATTTGGCTTATACAGCCATCCAACTGTTCTTGTCTCCAACTTTAACTCTATAGGATCTTTTTTATGTGGATTGGGGGCAGGGTTGAAGTAGAGACAATATAGTAACTTTTCTTTGAAATTCTGACGATTTATATCAGATAGAGATATTGATAGATTGCAAATGTAAATCTTTAACTTTCTGGTATGGGTAGGTTTATCCAGACATGGAAGAGGCAACAAACATCTTTTAAAAATCCTTATAAAAAGATACTAAAATACTATTTCTAGAGCAAATTTCAAGAGCAATGTGACAGGATAAGTAAAGTTTTGTATGTATGTATGTATGTATGTATGTATGTATGTATGAAGATAAACAGCTGGAAAAAAAACCTGTTCTGTGACAAATGCAACTCTTAAGTATTCTTAGTGTATAAATCCATCTTTTTGGAAGCCTTTAATATTATGGACAAATTGGCAAGCTCTGCAAAACTTCTTTAATGCTCTCAGTTGGTTCCCTTCCTCTGTTCAGTGTGGCAGGTATTTAGATGGTATTTTCAGTTATGAAAATGAACAGGAAATAGATGATGAAAATGACTTCCCTCTGCCTGAAGTTCTAGAGAACTATCAGAGTAGACCGTGTTGGCTGAGTGTGCAAATAGGCTGCATTTAAATTTAGAATAGGTAAATCTAGTATTCTTATCTGAGTTCTCTGGGTTGCTAGAAAATGGTTATAGAAAAATGGGATAGTAATATTCAGCTTTTTCATAGTACTTATTTATATAAGTGAAATGAACTATCCTGGAACTAGTATGAGTCTGCAGTTATCATATGACTACATAAATTTCCTCTTGAATGGCACCGTGCTAATTTAGCCAGTAGTATATTGGATGTGGAACAAAAGCCTAAACTCGTTGAATCCTAAAAGAATGATGTTATTTCAGCCTCAGTTTCCATATATAATCTAGCTGGACAATTATTACCTGAGAGTCAAACATTTGAATTTATGCATGAGAAATTATTCAAAACCATGCTCAGTACTGCAGTTTCTTAATGTACCCTTTGATGAATCACTCCTGTATCTCTTGCTATAATTCCCCTTCAACTCAAATATTGGGAAGCCAATAAATAGGAGGAAATGCACTTTTCGGTACATCTGGGATCAAAGGCAAGAATAAAACAAGACAAATAAAATGTATAAATCCAGTCACTAGGCCAATAATTAATAATTGTTACTAGCAGCTATTACTTCAGACCAGGTTTGTTTTATTTTTAATTTGCCCATTTTTGATGCAACATGTCTGTAGATATTAGAATTGGAGACATAAATGCACGGATTCAAAAAAATTAGGGGGAGGGGATATATGCAGGATTCTATGATTTTATCCCAGATTGCTAAGAATGAGTAGAAAGGTGGGTGCCCAATATGACATAATAATAAAGGTCCATGAAAAGCACTAAGAACATAATGGTTTTCAGACCTCCTTTAAAAATTGGTTTGCAAATCCCAGGAAGAAGCTTTTTGTTCTAAAACCACTTTGCAAACGATGCCTGAGCACTAAAATATGTAGCAGAATGCTAGGGTATTGTGTGTGTGCATTTCTTATGTAACGAATATGAATAAGCCAGAGCTTGTTTCTTTTATGAGAAAATTGCTGTACTGTATGAAAAAGTGTCTTTGAGCATTTGGTTGTTACTGTGGGGGTTAGCCAGATATAAAAAACCAAAGTGCAGAGGAATAAGAAAAACAGAAAAGGGAACACGGTGCATCAAAATAAAACTTTCCATGGCTATGAAAATATGAATATATCATTAAAGATAGATAGAAACGCATTATTAGGAATGGTTGTTATGTCATGCAGCAGGCTTATTAACCTGTGGTTTGGCTTTTATTGCATTTTAAACAGATGTCTGTAGGGTAAGGGAAGATAATCAGAGAAGGAAAGTTATACATTCCAAGCCAAATAGATAAAATTTAAAATTATTATATTCTGCAACAAATATAAATTGACTAATTACAACCTGCATATGAAAATAGCTTATATTTTCGAATGTTTCTTCTTCTTCTATGCATTGATAAGCATATTGATTGTTGTATTACCTTGGCAGCTTTGAGGTTCAATTAGTGTAGGTTTGGTTATTGTTCCTGAAAAATGTATTAATCCTCTCTCCCCTATCAGTTATTTTTATACCAGATTCTGCGCGGTTTGGCCTATTGTCACAGAAGAAAAGTACTACACCGGGACTTAAAACCACAAAATCTACTAATTAATGAAAGAGGAGAATTAAAGCTAGCAGACTTTGGTTAGTAAAAGAACTAATGGATTGTTTTGACTGGGGAAAATATTTGCTTTATTTCAATTCTATGAACACCTTTCAATGCCCACATTAGTTTTAACAATATTAGTCTGTGTGTGTTTGTACACAGATACCCACATTCATGTTTACATACTGAGAAAGCCACAATTCACATTTGCTGAGTTTTGCTCAATTGATTTAAGGGCTAATGCATTAATGAATGTACAGTCTGAAATGCTAAAAAAAAGTATTTTGGAGGAGAATTTAGCACTATTAGCAATATTCTGAGAAATATATTCATATATAATTTATTTGTTTATCAGAGAAGCACATTCTTGTTCTAATTCTTTCAGAAACAGAAGTTTCTCTCAAAAAACAGCATGACGATGAAAGCTTCTCATCATGCTTTATAGTTTTTGCCTTTAGCTATTTCTAAGTGTTCTATGCTTTTTGCTAATCTTATGTAATTCACCTGGTTGTAAAAGCATGTTACAGTGCTGTTTCAGTTTAAACTATGGATTATGTTCCTTCTCTGATTTGCCAGCTATTTGTGTTATAGGACCAAACATGTTTTTTTAATTGTCTGAGAGCCAGTATTAATTTTTAGGTGATAGGGAAAATCAAACTATTCTTAGAATAGTTTGATTTTCCCTATCTTAGAACTTAGAAAACAAAACACAGAGGGCTCCTCTTGCCCCTCTGCTTCCCTCCCCTCACCCACCCCCCCCACCCCAAAAAAAAAGAGTGTATTAGATTCCCCTGGTTGTTTTAGCCTCCCAGGAATATTCTGGGCATTATATTGAAGAGAATTTTTAAAAAAAAACAAAGACAGCCTTTGTCACTTGGTGCTTTCTGTATGTTTCTTAAAGGAACTTGCCTGTTTATTGTGTAAGGGTATCTTCCCTTTTATGAGCCATTGTGACTCATGTTGTGGTAGCACTTTCCACTCACACTCAGAAATACTGCAGACAATATCTTGCACAGTTTCTTCAGAAAGCAGCTCTAAGTCTCTTGTATTGTAGGCTAAAGTTGTTTCCAGATGATGTGGCATACAGTTCCCTTCATATCCAAACTGGCCAATAAGAGTCATTGGGTGGACCCCAGATTGGAGAAAGTTGCCAAAGGCGCTTCCTTCTTAGTAGGACTACGGATATGTGCCAAGATTGACAATGTTTTCATCTCAAGGGCTATTTTGTTTATTTCTCGTGAGGACCACTTTCAGAATTTAGATATGGCTTAACATAAAATAAATTTTGTTGTTTTCATTCTGTATTTTTTAGTGTTTCTCTTTTCTTCATGTCTTCTTTCCTCTTTATTTTGGTGTATTTTCTTTGTGCACTAGTAAAAGACTGTCCCTTTCTAGATGCATAAAAAGGAATGCAAACTTTCTGGCAGTACAGGAAGACATTAATCTCTACCTGAATCACCAGGCTGCAGGGGAAAGGGATAGTTGAAAGGCCATGGTTGTCTGGAAACTGCTGTTAGGATAGGTGGGGAGGTTTAGCAGAGGTGTCATCACAAATGGCAGAAGTGTTTCTCAGGAAGATTTGTTAGCAGTAGTAATTCCATAACATGGATGCATGATTTTCTAAACATGAGTGATACATCTAAAGTAGAAAAAAGAGACCAGAAGGATATAACAGGCATGTTTTTGTATACACATTAATTTTATATACTTCTAATCAAAGTTGCTGAGAGTGTAAATGGTTGACCATTCTGTAGAAAGCACTGGTCTGTCAAAAATAAATGCTCCTGTTTTATAGCAGCAAGCGAATGCTTAGCTATAGTTTCTGAATCATGTGAAATTTCTATGAAAAAGATCTATATAATATAAAATTGAAGAAAGATGGAATAGGGCTAAGGAAATTCATTTTGCACTTTATTTTTGAAGGCCTGGCTAGAGCAAAATCTGTTCCTACAAAGACATATTCAAATGAAGTTGTTACATTGTGGTATAGGCCTCCAGATGTTCTTCTCGGATCTTCTGAATATTCCACACAAATTGATATGTGGTGAGTTTCAAATATTAACCTGCTTGCTTTCATTCAAATTAAACATATCTGTATATTTTTCTCCTTTACCTCTAAGTAACCTTTGTTAATAATAAGCAGTAATACTGCAGATGCTTCTCTAGTTCATACTTGAAACTTTGGGGGAAGAAGAAGGAAGCAAGCCAAGAAAATATTGCTTAAATATTTAAATATCTCAAAATTTAGTTGATTTCAATCTCTGAACTTTAAATATTTTCATATTTTAAATCTCAATAGTGAGATTGGACAAATGTATTTCAAGTGAATGCAAATCATGTTGATTATTTTCATAACCAAGGAAAAAGTAATGCACTATTGAGATACTAATTCAGGATACTAACTCATTGACAGTTACATGACCTCATTACCTTAACACAATTAGATTAAGTAGTCCATCTACCTATCATTAAAATTATATATTTAAATACTTTCATCTCCTTTATAATACTTAATTGAGCTTTTCCTCTCTTAAAGGGGAGTTGGATGTATATTTTTTGAAATGGCATCAGGAAGACCTCTCTTTCCTGGGTCAACGGTTGAAGATGAATTGCACTTAATTTTCAGACTTCTGGGTAAATATGTTTAGCTTACAGCTATGAGTTTATTTTGGTCTTCTTAAGAGAATTTCTGAAAACTTTAGACTTGTACTATAATTGCAATGTTTATATGTTTATAAAGGGGGGGGGTATGATTTTGATGTTTCAAGTCTGTACTTTTGTTAGAATCAGTTATCTATTTTGGAAGCTGTTGTTTAAATTTTTACTTTATTTATTTTAATATCTACATGGGATTAGTACTCCTTATGTTGATTTGTTTAATCTTTCAACTCAGGAACTCCATCACAAGAAACATGGCCAGGCATTACTTCCAGTGATGAGTTTAGGAATTACAACTTTCCCAAATACAAGCCACAACCTTTGATCAACCACGCTCCAAGGTATTTAAAGTTCAAATTGCACATATATCATAAGTACTCTCTCTGGGGAAAAATAACCATCACTAGGAACTGTTTTTGTTGGGGGATTAACTCTAAATGGATTATTATTCTCATGGTCCAGTGAGTTTTTGTACCTTTGCATAAAGAATAGTAAAATAATTGAATTTGTGTAATATCTGCTAATGATCCAAATCAATAATTTTTATAATTAGGATATCAACTATAAAAGTGAAAATTGATTCCAGGAATCTTATATTGTTGAAGTTCTACATTTTAACTATAACTATATATATATTTGTGAATAGCATGTTGTAATAGTTTGTTTTGTTTTAGTAAAAAATGTGTTACGGCAAACCAGTTTTAAATAATTCGACACATATTGTATTGTCTTCCCTGAAATATCAGTCTTCCCTGTTGAAGGGGGTTGGGAGATCTTCCAAAGACGATTTTGCAGTCACAAAAGAAAAAAGCTATAGATGTTGCTGTGCATAAGTGGAATTCCCCTTGTGTAATTCTCAGTTTATCCTAAAAAACAAATAAAGGCTAAAGACAGCTGCTGTATAATAAAGAAATCTCAAACCAGTGACTCTCAGCAAGTAATGATAATCTGTGATTTATTTAAAAACCCATATTCCAGTGATTAATTTTGTTTAGGTATCTGTTTGCTACACATTTTGCTTTACACTATTTGAATTAGATTAGGCAATTATTTTCTAGTTCATGTGGACTTACATTCATTTAATGATTAAACAATCTTGCATTTTCAAAATAAATTACTTTTCTTTAGTGGTAAGCATGTGTAATACATTAATTTTCAATGCCAGTTACATGATACGTCAGTTTATTTAAAAGTATTGCTTTTTTATTTTTACATTAAAATACAATGAAATAATAGTATTAACACAATGCATTTAGTAATAATAGTAGACATATCACCTTATTAGTGTTAAGTAAACCCATAATTACATTCAGGATATTTTGAAATTGGAAGTATGTCTTAAGCAAAGGCACACACATTATTTCAATTATTAGAATCCACCTGGAAACTGTGAATAAACAATGAATATATGATTTATTTCTAGGTTGGATTCAGAAGGGATTGAACTGATAGTAAAATTTCTTCAAGTAAGTTCTTTTTTGTATTCTTTACGCATGTAGTGAGTACTTTTCAAGTTCTTTATTTGGTAGATTAGAAGAATACAAAACTATGGTTCAAAAAGAGCATTATTTAGATGTTGCTCTTGTATGTAGACGTTGCTCTTGCAGCTTCTCTTTTGTTTATTGTAAAGATCTCTTCCGTCAATCAAATATTTCTTCCTTCAGTTGATAATTTAATATGGTAAAACCCTGAAAAAGTACATAAATGATGAATTCCTTAAAAGATTTTGAAAGGCAACAGCAAAAATAATTTTGCACATATACAAATAAAGGCAAGAAAATATACTAGTTTTTGTTTGAATTTATATGTGGAACCTAACTAATTCGGGCTGTATTCACCAGTGTGCTAAGCCAAAACTTTTAAATAATGGGTCTTTGAATGAGATATATTAAACCAAAAATATAACAAGCAATGTCTTAGTGTATTTGTACCATGGACTATGGAGTAGTCCATCAATTCATCTGTTTCAGTTTTTTTTCCTTTCTGATGTTCCCAAGAAGTACCCACTGCTACTTCCCTTAGTGTCCACAAGCTTCCTGACCCACTTGAGCTTTTTATCACTTTTTATCTTCATTAAAAAGAATGGGAAGTGGTAGTGTTGCACCTCTAAAATTATTTATCTATATATCTCTATCATCTATCTATCTATCTATCTATCTATCTATCTATCTATCTATCTATCTATCTATCTATCTATCTATCTACATATAATTAGATGTATGTATATGTATATAGCTACAGCAATGGTGGGTTGCACGCGTTATGCCCCGGTACGGGAGTACCGGATCCTGCCCAGAGCACCGGGTACTGTTCCGTTACAGTGCTCTGGAGGGCCCACCTGCCTGCCCGCGCTCCTTACCTGTGCTTTATGCTTTGGGCGCTTCTGCGCACACGCATGGCACATACGGTGCCTGCACGATGCTCCGCGGAGCAGCTGGAGTGTCACAGAGGCTTGTGGAAGTGTCATTTGACGCTAGAACGCATGCGCACTGCGCATGTGCATGTGGGTAACTCAGAAGCCGTTCCAACCATACCGGTTGGAACGGAATCCGGAACCCACCACTAAGCTACAGGTACTAAAGACCAAACATTGTGATTTGAAGTAAATAAAATCTATCCTGCATCAATTGTGTTTTAAAATAGTCTTTATCATTTTGTTTGCCAGTATGAATCAAAGAAAAGAATATCAGCAGAAGAGGCTATGAAACATGCATATTTCAGAAGTCTTGGAACTAGAATACATACTTTACCAGAAAGTAAGTTTATTGCACCTTTGATATGACCTGGGCATCTGGTTTTGAGGAAGTTTATTCTACTTGCTCAGAAAATTAAGAATCTTTCTAAGAATTACATTGAATCAAAAGTATCCATTTGAGTTAGGTTGTGTTTAAACTAGCAGTAATTAACTTTGTATCTTTCATCTGAAAGACCTTTATTGATACCCAATATCAGGTTCAAATCAAATTTAGACGGGTTCTTAGCTTTTCCTGCTTTTGTCCAGCTGGGATTGGAAGTTGGGATGATGACAGGAAAGGAAAATACCATTTTCTTCTTCTTTGCTGTAGTTCCTGTAAATCCTTCAGGATTATTCAGATTTGAGCATTCTATAAATATTGTTTGATAAAGTTTTATTTTGATCCTAAATATATTTTTGAAACAGAGACACTTATTTGGGAGAAAAAAGTCACTACATATATTGTTTCAGGTGTATCAATATTCACTTTGAAAGAAATTCAGCTCCAAAAAGATCCAGGCTTTCGAAATTCCACTTATCCAGAGACAGGTATGTAAAGTCATATTTGCAGTTCTTTCTCAGGGTTACATGAGGTAGAACAATTAATATCTATGGTCTTGTGGATCATATAAAAAAGCACTATTAAGTAGCTTGGCACTGTTGCATCTTATGCTGATGTATTCAGGTACATTCTGTGAATGACTGGAGCCATTCCTCATACGACGCTTTGATTCATTTAAGATGCAGGTTGTTAAGCCACAATGATTCACAAATACTATTAAGCCATATATGGGAAATTTCCAAACCACAGTGGCTGAATTCAAACATCATGCTAAGCCAGAACCAAACTATACTGTAATTTAGCATGTGTGACTAAGCATAGATTTGCTCATTTGTATCCCACCTTTATTATTTTTAGTCAAGGTAGTAGACATAACCAGTGCACTTTCCTCCACCTATTTGCCCCACAACATTCCCCGTGAGATGAGTTGGAGAGAATATAAGAGAGAAAGCGACTGGCCCAAGATCACCCAGCCGACTTTAATGACTAAGGCAGGACTAAAATTCATGGTCTCCCAGTTTCTAGCCTGATACCTTAACCACTGGACCAAACTTGTTCTCTCCATGAGACGATTGCTTTAAATATAATGCTCACAGAAACTGCCAGTTCCTTTCTAAATCTGTTTGATATGATGTGTATCAGTATGTATACTGAAACATCACCTTAATCTCTTAACAAAATACATGTTTTTATGTTCTAGGACATGGGAAGAACAGAAGACAAAGCATGCTTTTCTGAGGCAGGCAGTACTGTTTCAAGCCAAGACTGGTTTTACCTCCATCAAGGACTCTAGTTTAAAGGCAATTCTTCCCTGGTGGACTTGAAATCTGTTTGTCTACACTGTCCTCCTCACAGTGCAGTCTTTTTATTTCGGACCTACTGGTTTGTTTTTTTTTAAATATATATATGTAAATATATATATATATGTATTTGTTGTCACAATGTGACAAATTTTTGTACATTTTAAGGTCTCCACCACCATTAGATCCAGTAGGTTACAACTGTTAATGTAACAGTAGCTGCAATTTTTGTGCAGGACTGAGAAACACAGTGCATTATTTATTGTGTAATCATTGCTGCTAAAAAAACTACTGTCTGTATAGTTAAGAGCCGAATGCCTGAAAGAGTTGCAATGGGTTTACTGTATATGCTATGTGAATGCCTTGTTTCTCTTCATGAATTATTGCTGCAGTTTTATATCTTGTTTTTTCTTTAACTGCAATTTTTCCTGGAATGTAAACACAGCTTTCTTGACTATAGTTACTATTTACTTTAACACTCTCTAGTTCTTGGCCTGTAAATTTCTTATTTAACATTAGATATGAAGTACTTAGAATGCTACCAAATACCTTTTTAAAGCACTTAGTAGTACAGATATCAGTTCAAATTGATGAAAAATTATATGGATCAGGTTCCAGATCTCTTATTTTGCTTATATCAGAAATGATAAACCACCTATATGTGACACTTAACTATTATCTCCCTTCTCTAACTTTTTCTAATAGACTGTTAGAATATTTTTGATATTGATATTTCCCAAAACGTTCCAGTCATTCAAAACAAACTGTGGGTGTGAAGCATCCCAGCTCAATTCTCTAATTGCCACCTGCTTTGGTGGCTGTTTCATGACCACGTGTTCATTGGAAAGCCACTAAAGAATGCAAGTCCACAATAAAGAATCTATCACTTTATTATGCAGGCTTCCTAGAGCAGTGTTTCTCAACCTTGACAACTTGAAGTCCTGTGGACTTCAAGTTGCCAAGGTTGAGAAACACTGTCCTAGAGTATGAGAACTTGGAGGGTTTTAAAGGCTGTAGCCGTTACCTGTTTATTGAAATTAAGTCATTATATTACAGTACTACTAAGCTTATGTATCTCAGTGAGTATCATAAGTACCTCCTGGTGATAGGAACAGTATTTTTCAGCATTTGTGTTCACCTTTTGGAACTTCTTCGTTTAGTGCATCTTCCAGAGGCTGTAAATCTTTATTAGTATATTTTGAAATGGTTATGTAAATCTTTGGCTGATGTATCATGAAAAATATTCCTAGATAACTTAATTTTTTTTTCCTGATGTTCACTGTAAAACATTCAGGGGTCCTACCATTTCTGTTCAGGAAATCTTGTAATTGATTATTGTTATTTAACAGTATTAAGTGAAAGATTTTGTATGTTTCTTTAACTTTATTTGTGAATAGTAATTGTGGCATGTTTTGGAATGTTTTCTTAATGTTTTATTATTATAATAGTAAAATTAATTTGAGAACTTTTTTCTGGAAAAGAAGACAAATTTATGTGAAATGGTGACTATTGGACCACTGCTGCTTTTCAGCATTTGTAAACTGGTTTTACACTTAACGAAGCCCAGTAGAGCTAACCAATTGCTGTTTATTTCTAACAGATGGACCTGTATTAATGCTGTACTTTTGAAAGTATAAATATTATATCGAAATCTTTAGTAGTGTTCAGATATTCTGTTGCATCTCACCATGCAGCTTTAAGAAAAAATTGCATTTCTCCCACCTTCTTGAAATCCTGAATCCCTCACCTTCCTGAAGCTTGCCAAAATCATTGAATTGAAGAAAACTTTCCTGTCACTTTTCAGGAAAAACAATAAATCCTATTTTTTAAAAGATGGCTTCCCTTGAAGCTTGAAACTTTTCCACCGTGTATTATGCATTTTTAAACTGGCCAGCTAATCCAGTGAAATCTGCACAAAAACTAATTGGCAGATGTAATTTAGTTTTACGAAAGTACCCAGAAGATATATGTGTTTTCTGTATAAGGTTGGAATATACTATTGTTTGGAAACAATGTTTAAATTCAACTTCCCAGATTCAGATAGAAAACTGCTGCTTGACAAACCAGTAAGACATCAGTTGAATTGGGCATAGCAGGAATGGAAGGAAGAAACAGGATTTTTAAACTCTTGAAGGAACTCAGAAATTGCCTTTTATTCAGCAGAATTGTGGCTATTTCTCCTAATATATTTGAACAAAGCATTATTACAGTTTGAAAGACTTGATCTATTTGCAATTCTGATATACACATCCATTTTTTCAACTTTGCACAAAGAAGGAATTGAGATTCCATTTCATTATTTTCCTTACAGTTCTTCACCACCTACCATGCTATTTAGAAAAATCCCTTCATTGTCTACAGCATTCCTCCCTCCCTCCCTCCCTCTCTGAAAGAGGAAACATTGGCAAAAATTTCTTCCACATTCCGTCAGCAAGAGAACTTTGAATCCAGCTCTCAGAATTTAGTGAAGTTTTTACCAGAAATTCTAACACATAGGGGTTAAATGTTAAATGCTTACAAATAGAACAGATAAACTACAAAAAAGGTCTTTATAGCCAATAGAAAAATAATTGAAATATACATAACATTACCAAATGTTACATTTGTTATTTAAGAATTTATTGCAAATTTCTAATCTATAAATCTGAGTGTCTCACCAGCTGGACTCAATGTTATTCTCATTAATGCTACTAGAAATGTATGCAATCTTTTTCTCCCCGTTAAATATCCTCGCAACAGCTCTGTGAGGTTGGTTTAAATAAATATCTTTAAGCTATTCCAATGTTTACATATGTAAAATGTGAATGAAAATAATTAAAGAACTTTTCAAGCTTAAATGGTATTTATGTTGGAAATCAGGATTTTTCATAGCATTTTTTTCTTCTTGGCATCCTTTAAACATACTGAACTACAAATCCCAGGTATTCCTAGCCAGTAATGCAGTGCCAGTTAAAAGTTGTACTTGCAGTGATCTGGAGGAAAATCTGGCTTAATAGATATTTTGTTGGTACCTTTAGTCAATTGTACTTCAAAAGGATTGTATGCAAATATGAGTATCTTATGAAGTATCTCACTTGGTAGAGCAGATGTACAGTACGTGTTAACAGTGGTCCATTTAAAACTTTTGTTTGGAAACTGTTGTGAACAAATAAAACATATTTGGGTATGTCTTGTAGGAGCAAATCTCATGGATTGGGCAACAGAAGAAGGATCATCCCTTTTATTTATAATTAGAGTTTATATTTCAGAATAAGTTTCATTATTATCAAGAAAAAATAAGAGTTCCAGCTTTTAATGCAATACATTTGTTGATACAGCTGTGTTAAACAACACCCACATTAATGCATAAATGTCTGTTCCCTGTGTATCTGTGAATAATTTCTTGACTGAAGCAGTTAGAACTTCACACCATTATCCAGTAAACTTGATTGCTTGGTATACTTTATTTTTTACACAGCAAACACATTAAAACATTGGTAACTTTAAAGAGTCAACAGGTAATTCATGTTGTATGTGTTTGCCACAGACGCTATCTATGAAAATGCAGAAGTGCATTTGTAGCCATGATGTTTATCTTTCTATTGTAGTATCTTCAGCATCTCACATTATAAGTATGCAAAAACATATAGAGAGCATTGCTGTTAATTGGCTTGCTAAATATTCAACTAAACAGTTAAACCAATCTTTCTCAATCTGGGGCCTTACTATGCCTAAATGTAGTATGCTAGCCAAGAATTATAGAAGCAATGATCTGACTAATCTGGGTACTAGTAGGAAAGGCTTACTTTTGTAGTTCACTATGGACTAATTAAGACACATGAGATTTAGACAGAGAAGAAGGGGTTAGATACAGCATTTAGGGGCACTTAGACATCAAGCATCTATTAGCTACTTACTAGCCTTTAATTTGCATTTAAGGAAATGAGTTAAAGAAATATGGCTCTGAATATGTAGCTTATTATGGATGTACATGTTCTGGCTTTTACAATATAAAGGTTACAGTATATTACTGATGACCTCATAGTCTCACAGCTTCCTGATGATTGGCAAAACAATATTACACCACCTGAAATATACCATCTGATATAAACTTTTCTTCAGCTTAAATTTCATCTCACTTCTGCATATGATTATTAAAAGTAGCCAAATAATAGTGTTCTGCATGTTCTTCAAATGGGAAGAACACAATCCTACTTTTAATGTAAAAACCCCATAAATCAAAGGATACAGTACTGCATTGTTAATGTTACATGTTATTTATCCCACCCCAAAAACCATTCTAAAGTTGTTTAACCCCTGTTTTAGGCAAAGTTTAGAACAGTTTTCTTTCATGATTTTAATGTGCATAGATTTGAATGTTTACAAATGCTTCTAGCACGCCAATCTATTCTATTTTTTTCCAGCCAAAATAAATGATTTTAAGATAAGCTTCTGTTGCGTAATCAGAAAAGGTGTATATTTCGCTCTTAAAATGTTTGAAGTTATTTTATTAAATTTAAAAATGTAAGTGTTACATTTGTTTCCAAGTTATAATAGCTATATACAGGTATTCTTCAATTTATGACCACAATTGAGCTCAAAATTTCTGTTGCTAAGTGGCAGTTGTTAAGTGAGTTGTGCCTTATTTTACAACTTTTTTGCTACAGTTGTTAAAAGCAAAGCACTGCAGCTGTTAAGTGAATCATGTGGTCATTAAACAAATATGGTTTCTGCACATGATTTTGCTTATTGGAAGCCAGATTTAAAGATTACAAATGATCACATGACCACAGGACAGCAATTGTCATAAATACATGCCAGTTGCCAAGTTCCCAAATTTGACCACAGGAAGACCACAGCAGTCATAAGTCATTTGTTTCAGTGCCATTGTAACTTTGAGCGGTCACTAAATGAATGGTTGTAAGTTGAGGGCTATCCGAACCCTGTATTATGCAGCGTAACAGTGTGTTTGAAGTGAATGTAGGCTATATATTTCAGAAGTTTTAAGAAAGGATGTAAGCAATGTAGGATATGCTTTGATCAGTATTTTGAATCAGTATGCATAAAAGAACTGGGGTCCAAATATTCCCTGGAAAATCTAGCAGGATTCTGTGCATGACACAGAATATTTTTGGCAGTGAAAATGTTTTCCATATATAGTGTGTGTTAAATTGATATTTTGCAATGCTTCCTTGCCAAGAAGGAGATAGAGAGCATATGATAGAAAATGTGATAGAATACTAATCAAGTAAAAAGCCTGGGAAATCAGTGGTTTCTCCAAGCAGCAGAAACTTGTTCTCTAGAAGAAGGAAAGTAAATTTTGGGAGACAGAATGTGAAGTGAAAATCAGCTGTATTAATTTTTGCTTCATATTTTTAACTTCAAAATGTACACAAGGATCTGTCATTTTTGCCAAAGCTAGAGCACACAGGGAGATTATTTTCACATTGATTTTGAAACATAAATCTGACTTCTTAAAATGAATGTGTTTTGTTTAAATATTGTTAATATGCATGTACAAGATATCTTTCCATTTACAGCTAAGAAACAATACCCTTCACCACCACCACCCACATTTATTTAGTTTTACTTTGTTTTGTGTTTCATCATCAGGGAACCAGTCATGATACTCTAGGATAGTGGTTCCCAACCTGTGCGTCGGGACCCCTTTGGGGGTCGAACGACCCTTTCATAGGGGTCGCCTAAATCCATCAGAAAACATGTATTTTCGATGGTCTTAGGAACAGAGACATCAAGTTTATGGTTGGGAGTCACCACAACATGAGGAACTGTATTAAAGGGTCGCGGCATTAGGAAGGTTGAGAACCACTGCTCTAGGAAGTGGCAAACTCTTTTCTACTTTCAGAATTCTAGCCTGATGAAATAAAGAATCTCAATATTTTTTTAATCACAATATTCAATATAAGGTTAGTACGAAGTGAGTTACGGGGGAGGAGAGAAAAATCACTGAAAAATTATTCATAATATGGTAATATGGTATTTATTTCCCAATTATGGAAAGGCACCTGTCATCTATTTAGACTTTCATTTTTGTAAGCATTACTAAAATATTTTTTTGAAAAATCAAAAATGTTGAAGTCTTAAAGCCTTGGTCCATGCACCCCTGGAGACACTTTTTCTCCGTCCCTGATAAGAAGCATGTGAGAATTTTACTTGTTCATAAAAATAAATTTTAGATTGACATCTCTTAACAATCAGCTTTATACACAAAGATAGTGGCACTGAATAAGACTATTCCCTCCAATTAAAAAAAAATGCCCCTAATATAAGTTGCAAGTATTTTAAGACCATATTACTATTTCAGAAGAATTCAAGCACTAATATCTAAATAGTGTTCTATTCTTAACCACAGGCCAAAATATTACGGCTTGTCAGTTCAGGAAGTAAACAAAAATATTCTTTATATATTTGGAAAGCGCTTAATTCAAAATTACATGAATATGCTGCACCACATGGCTGACTGTAAAGGGGAATACTGAAATACTAGGATGGGGAGAAAAGTGTTCAATACTTGGTTCTTTCCAACCTTAATCTTAATACTGGAAAATATATAAATCATTTATATAACATTATGCAAAAGAAGGCACAGCCGGTTATAGTTTATACAAGCAGGATGCATTATACGCAGAAGTACAGAAGTAAAACATTTCACATCCTTTACATATTGTTTAGAAATGTATTAAGAAAGATAACTTCATTAACAGTGTTCAACACTTGGAGAGCAGGATATAAAAATTATAAGTTGTTTTAATGCACAAAAGATTTCTTATACAAAAAACCCCCTCACTGTATAAAAATGCTAAATAAACACCATACAAGTAGGTCATCTGTGTAATGGAAAGTGCAAACCATAGTAAAAGAGTTTCATCATGTCCTCCTGGCTTTACCAGAAAAATGAAACCCATCAGAATGGCTGTGTCAAATCCAGTTTTTTAGTGAGTCCCCAGTTTGCTGAGACATCAGGATTTATGAGCATTTGGAGAAAGGAGAACTGGAGAAGAGGCTCCATCCAAGCTGGGAATTTGCATTGGGATGTGACCATTTAGCAGAGTTGGAAACTGTAAAAAAAGCAAAGAAAAATGTCACTGATATTCGCATTCTATCTATGTGTGAGCTCTCAAACATTATTTTTAATGCTACATAGAGACTTCTGATTGCAGCAGGTACAAGTAAAATAATTTTTAAAAGATCAAAGTTAAACATTTTGGATTGGCTGAATATTAGATGGTTCAGAAAAAGGCATTCATGAAAAGCAGATATTTGTGACATATTCCTTTGGGGATGGGAGGAAACGCAAGTGAAAACTTTCTTGTGATTTTAGAGTAAGCTAACACTTTTTCATTTTATTCTAAAATGAATCAGTATCAATCTGAGGTTCAACATTTTTTTTGTAAATGAATTAAAGTTAAAGTAAATGACAGAACGGCAGGTTTGTATGTAACATTGGGTTGGGAAAGAAGTATGTGAATCTAAGAGTAAGACCATCTCAATAAAACTGATGAATAGAGTGCACATTGTTTTACTTTGGCAATCAGAATATCATTTTTAAAAATCATAGAAATAATAAAATTGAAAATAATTACAATGCAAAAATGTCCATATGTTTTTCAAGACATTATAATCTTCAAGACAATAATGAATGCCTAATAAAATCAAATAATCCCCATAATAACTAATGTTTTTAATTGATTAAAATTTAATAATGTAAATTATTTAAATTTATTTAAATTGCTTGTATATCACCTCAGGCCCATGATTCAGAACAGTTTAGAGCATAAAAACAGACAACAAAATAAACTTTAAAAATACTGTAGTAGCTTGGGTCACCACTACTCATTAAAAGCCCAAATAAGATGTTTTTCATAGATTTCAAGAAGGTTATCAAGAAAAGGACTAAACTAAATTGGAGGCAAGGTATTCCAGTGACGTAAGTCTACTATAGACAAAGATTGTTCCCCTCACCTCAAAGAGATGGAACTTTAATATCTTTCTCAATGATCTCAAAGATCAGGAAAAAAAACATTTGGAAAAAAATGATCTCAAATGCCCTGCGCCACATCATATAAGACTTTACAGGTCATGACCAACAGTTTAAATTGGGCTTAGACTAGTTTATGCAATCAATAGAGCAGTTTAAGAATAAATATTAAGTTGTACTTGCCTACCAGCAGCCTAATCATTGTGTTCTTCCTTGTTGCTGTGAGTCAGTCTCAAAAGCACCCCCACATATAGCACGTTACAAAACTCTTATCTACAACAGCTTTTTGATCCAGTAAGGACTATAACTGGCACATCAACCAGAACTGAACAAAGGTTCTAGCCTTCATTTGCTCTAGCAAGAGCCATAACACACTCCCACCAAGTCATGGACATTCTTTTCCAGTGGAAGCACAATTCTGTCCAGAGCTATTGTGGGAACTAAATTAAAGCCAGAATGTTTCTAAACGAACTACCTCTAAACTGTAACTTGAATTTGGCTGTCAAAAGCTGTTTGTAGTGGAGCTACTGGAACATATCTTCAAGAAGGATGCAAAAGATCACATAGCTAAGATAACTCTTATGATGACTAGCACTGATGCTGTTACCTAGTTAGAATAATGAAACATCTGCAAGAAAACAAGCAAGTTCAGAGAGCACCAAAAACCCTTGTATCAACCGTGACCTACAAATATTTTCCTTTATTAGTAAGAACATTCTGTATTTTGTATTCCCCCTTTTTAATGTCCTTATTCTGATAAACCAAGGCATGATAGATTAACGCAAAGTTTCTGAGGCTGTTCTGTTGACATGGTTCAAAGTTCTCTGCCCAAAATTTTATTAGGAGTCTTGGAACTGAAAAACTGACTTATTTTGGCTTCTATGCTGCTCAACAGCCACAAGCTATGAGCAGCTGGGAATTAGACTCTCCCAGATGCTCCCAGATTGAAGGTGGGATAAATTGAGGCCTAATTTGTAAATTACTGGGTTTTAGTTAACATTCTGGAGTCTGCAGATGCTCATTTGCTACACTTGACAAATCCTTTACAAGGTGTAACATTCAGCTTCATACTTGTTTGCAGTATGAAGCAGCACAAGCCATAATTTCACAGCTTTGACATTTTTGTCTGTATTGTATGGGAAAGACTCTTAACACGAACAAGAAAATTAACTCTTTTTTTTTTCAGAAAGTGCTCCTATAACACTTAAATATATACACCCAATTTATATTATATAAATTGTCCACTTTGCCATTATATTATGGAAAAATGTAAATGTAATAGAAAAATATTTAAACAATAAGCAAAGTGAATATTTGTCAGAGTGCCATAGAGTTAGTGTAATAGTTCTATTAAAATTCATTGCAGCATTAGAAGACACTGCGTATGACATAGTGTATAACTAAGTTTTACATAGGGGAAAACAGATTATTAAATACCGCCATTCTGAATTATCACTCTACTCAAGATGAACATGCTTTTCTATGTCAGTTCCTCAATATTTAAGCATGAACTTTGCATTACAGAAGAAGCAGCGGTTGCATAATAACTGCAGCCTAACTTTTTCACCCTTAACATCAATTTCTTAAACAATAAAACGGAATGCTGTTGAATATTTATCACATCTCTTTTCTGTAACAAATATCACCTTTAGAATATTTTGGACTCTCCAGTGGCTCTTGCTGTTCTGATTTTCTGTCCTATTTTAAAAGCAAGGAGTGAGCTACAGTCTAAAAATAAATGGCTGTACACAATTTTAATCCATCCACATGTATAACCCACAGATAATATACTATAGTGTTCCATGGGCAAAAGTGTCACTTCTGGAAACCCAAGAAATGCATCTCTAGCAACTCATTTAAAAGACACCCCAAATTCCATTTACAAACAAAATAAAGGGCTCTGATTCATTGCAGAGATCTGCCCAGTAAGATGGAGCTTACTTGCTGAGCCAACTAACAATTTTGTCAATTGCCACAATTTGTCTATCCCTTGACTCATCCAAGCTTTGTATTTGACATGCTATGTTGGAGAGTTGGCTCTTTAGAAGATCTCCTTTTGCTTTTGGGCCTAGATATGAAGGATTCTAGGGGGTTTCCCTCAAGTCATTCAGTGCAGCTATAAATACTAAGCAAACAATTAACTGAATGGATTCAAATGGAGAAGTGTGCGTAAGGTGTTGATGAATTTCAACTGTATTTCCTTGCTATTAATTCTACCTTTGTTGCTTGGTAAACTGCAGCTCTCAACAAGTCTTTCATTATCCTAATGACACAGCAAACTTTTAGATCCAGAATGAGTTAATTACAATCTGCAGAGGCTCTGCCAATTACCCTGAGCCACTGACGTCAGTTGGCTGTTGCAGAATCACTTCTACTCACTATACTGGGAAACAAAAGTAGTTCTACCTGTACGTCAACTCAAAAGAAATTGATTCAAGCAGGTAGCGTCTGTGACAAAATTACATGTCTTTGCTTTTGGAAACAGCAGTACACCATTTTTGAGAAGAGTTCAGGGATAAAGTTGAAGGAGCAGATGACGGGAAGTGATACCATTTGTCACTTCCCCTTGGAAAGCCAAGCATGGACAGGTAGTTGTCAACTTACAACAGTTCATTCAGTGACAGTTCAAAGTTGCAACAACACTGTAAAAAGTGACTTACGACTATTTTTCACACTTACAACCATTGCAGCATGGTCATGTGATCAAAATTCAGACACTTGGCAACTGACTCATATTTATGACAATTGCAGTGTCCTGGAGTCACATGATCCCCTTTTGCAAACTTCTGACAAGAAAAGTCAACGGGAAGCTAGATTCACTTCACAATCATGTTACTAACTTAAACACCTGCAGTGGTTTACTGGACAGAAAGGTCGTAAAATGGAGCAAAACTCACTTAACAAATGTCTCACTTAGCAACAGAAATTTTGGGCTCAATTGTGGTTGTAAATTGAGGACTACCGTAGACTGAGCAAAGCAAGTTCTAAGGGTGGTGGAAACATGGATCTCCTTTTCCTCGTTCACCAGGGTGGATGAATTTACATTTCAGAGCACTCACCAACTGCTAATTAAATAAGGTTATCTGGGTAGATTATACGTTATTTAATTTTTCAAGCATTGTATGAAGAGGGGAAGGCTTAAAATTCTTGTAGTCATGTTTCATTTTGGAAAATATTAATATAAAACAGAGACCCCTGATTTTCCCTCTACTGCTTTCTCTGCAATTTTCTCTTCAGAGAACAAATCGCCATAAAAGAAACAGTCTACTTCTGCTAAAGCTTTGGTACCTCAATCCAAAAAAGCTTCTTCTCAATTGCTATAGGGAACAAAATCCATGACCAACTGATTTTTTTTATTTAATCCAATTAATTTTTAGGGTCTTGGTTGCCATAGTAGTTAATTCAGTCAACAGCTCTCCAGACTAATTATTAATTCCTGCTTACTGGTATCACGTGAGAAAAGAAGCTTTGAACAAATGGGCAACTGTGTTAGAGAACCACAGCTGCCACGAGCTGGGACACTGGCACTGCTCTCTTTCTATCACTTCTGCCCTATCTTTCCATCACTCTCATCTACAGGGGGCAGTCTAAAAAATCAAGATGGCAGTCATGGAAATGCAGTTAAAGTGCCCTTCTTGAATGTGCATCGGCACTGTATGGATCCATGGGGATGAACTCCATCTTGACCCTTTTGATCATCCGCTGCAGGTGGCACTACTCTCTATTAAATGTCTTGTCCCTAATCAGACAATGTAATTGACTGGGTGAGTTTATTGTTTTTACACTGTGGTGGGTACATTCACCCATCAGAGTAAACCACATCTTATTTTCATGTGGATTCCCTGTGGACTCATTCACACATCCTCCTGACAGAGATGTGACCTTGGCCTTTCTTGCAACCCTGCAACAGCCAGGGACATTTGCTTGCTACAACAGATCCAGAATCCCTTTATCACTTTTAGGAACCCTTAAAGTCAAAGCTGCTTATGTTTTCTGTTTTCCTCATATCAGTCAAGTACACCCGAGAGGGCAAATTCATGTGTAGATATAGTTTTACCCTGACACTTTTCTCTTTTTTGATAAGAGATTAAGAGAGCGTGCCTTGGACCCATATAGCTGTCACATCCTTGAGATTGATAGTAGCTTTTCTAATACAAGGTTCAATGCCTGTTACTGAAAGATTTCAGTTTCAGACATGGCATACTAACCTTCTGAGCAATCATCAAAATTCTTTGTGGTCTTTTTCATAGATTTCATTATGTACTAAAATTGTTAACAATTTTTTTATCTCATTTACAATGAAATATTGCAACTGATGTTTTATCAGGAAAGTACTCAGATGTGTACACTATATTATCAGCAGATTAGCTCCTAAACCATTTACCAGCAATATAATGAACAATTTTGGACCAGAGCCATTTTTACTGCAGCAGTGATGTCCTTGTCTCCTGATTTCAGAGAAGTTACATATGGTTTCTAAGCATTGAATAATCACAGTTTATAATGTGTCTCACCCTAATGCTGAAGATCTTGTTTCTTTAGCAAAGGGTGTAACTGTTACATATTTCCTATATCTGTTTTTGTTCCCAATATCACAGATTCGTCTGAGACTACATGCACAAACTTACCTGAAACAAGGTGTTTGGTCCTTGCAGTCTGGCAGGACTCAAGGGAGCAATAGGACTGAGGCTGCTCCAAAAGTGAATGCTAGAAAGCAGTGGACTCGGGGTCAACAGTAACCCATTTGGAGTCTACAAGACAAAACACACTAGCTTAGTCGTCTGTTGATAAACATTGCCATAAGGAGGCTGGCATGCCATTAACTTTCCCATTTTTATCATAGCTTCTTCAGTATTGCTTACATCCCAGTTTCTAATACACATTTTGAATGGGATGTGTAGAATCATATTCTAATATACTGTTTTATTTTTCGCATTCCTGCATCATTTCTGATCAGAGGTGGGTTCCTACCAGTTCGCACCTATTCGGTAGAACCGGTTCGTCAAATCTACCAAACTGGTTAGAAGAGGTTCCACCAGTGGACCCGGAAAGCAGGCCACACCTACAGAAGAGGTTCCAAAATTTTTTGAAACCCATCACTGCTTCTGATGGAACACTGTCTAGTTGTTTCCTTTGAACATGATTGATGAAGGCATAGCTAGATTCAAAACAGCACACTTTCAATCATAAAACAGCTATTTTATACCCCCCAAATAGATTACTGGAGTCACCCAAACTTAACTACCATTCCATTTTTTAAAATACAAATGATACAAGCAAGTACATACAGATCTAAATACAAAAAAGGGGAGGCAATACAAATATTACAGTGTGCCCCCTCCCCGGAGACCTTTTTCCCCCCTTATATTTCCTCTATAACAACTAAAAGATATACAATATAGCCAATTGTGCCCTTATACCCTCCCCTTTTGTCAAGATATATTTAACCAACGAATCTTCAGAACAGAAGAAAGAAAGCAGCACAAACGTTCTATTTTTGATCAGTTCTGCCTGGATAAATATTAGTCAGCAAGTATACCGCATGAGGGCAGTTTCAGAACTCCATATAAAACTGATGTAAAGTCATTTCAGAGGTTCTGCTTCATGCCAAATACTTTTCCAATCATTATCATTTATTTCTCCTAAATCTGATTCCCAAATTAATTTTAAACCTTTTGCCTGCTCTTCTAATTCAGTTAATAATCTAAATATTTCCCAATTCTTCCTTTACCTATATATTCTTCATTCACTTCACATTCTTTTATAATCATTTCAAATTTTGTTAACTGTCTATCTTTCTCCTCGAATCTTTCTTACACTTTTATCCATTTCTCTAATTGTATTAAATTCAACCAATTTTTGTTTCCATTATTGTTGGAACCTGGCAGGTGAAAGTTGGAATGTAATCAAGCAAATACATGCATCCATTAGTTTGGAGTTTGAAACTCAAAACTCCTTTCCAAAATATATCCTATTAATATTAAATTACATATTAATTAATATAATATATCCTATCAATATGGCTCATCTCACACAATTGGACAGAGGTTGGAGCTTCAGTTTGTGTGGATCCTCTGCTCATTAACTGCTATTTTCAACAGAATGACTCACAAAAAAAGCTGAGATTTTTCTTGCAAACAGCCCACAGCTTTGAAAGCAACTGTCAGGTCATTTATTTTTACAAGAACTGCAAACTCTCATGTTTTTGTACTTAAAATAATCATGTTCCTTTTTTTAGTACCATAGACTGAAGTTCATTGCTCAGTGTTAAACTCTTCTACTGAAGCTTTTAGCATTGTCAGAACTTAGTTCTCAAGTGGCTAAGCAACAAAATGTCTATTACCCTACTTTGTACATAGCACTTAAAGAGCCTTTAAGCCAAACTAAGACCAATACTGAATATCAGAACTCCAGTCTAATCAATAAGTGAGTTAATCCTGAAATAGAGATTGCTACAGTATTCTTTGAAATTTTTCACATTTTTCACGAGAAGTCAGTTTTTGTATTAATACTTGGTAAAGTTAGAAAGCCTTCTATATAAAATTAACAGCCATTTCAAGGGATAGTTCTCAAGATTTCAAAAAATAAAAAATCTCAGAACAAGATTTGGTTCCTATCTGAATTGGTTGAGGCAATCTCATCAAAAGAAGTATCAGGAAGTGCAGAAAGACAACCAAGTTGAGATTCGTCAAGCTTCATTGGGAGTTATAAAGCAGGATGGGATCTGTAGCACTTGGATCCTTCGTACAAAATGAGTTACCTCGCCTTGATGCTTATGGAATACTATCCTTAACTGTACAGTTAGAATTTGAGTTGACCATATAGAATTTGAGTTGACTCATATAATTACATATGAGGTCTTTAATCCAGTATGTAAACAGTGAAAGTTGTAAATTTGTATTTATATATATATTGGGGTTCTGAAAAAATAAAAATGACAAATACCACTGGAGGTATTGTAAAGACTGCCTGTCTTGAGACTTGTCCTGATATTTTTGATAAGTTGATTATATTGAAAACTGATGTATCTGAGGATGCTTACATCTTTTCTTGACTTTTGTAGTGGTCCTTCAACTTTCTGCATGCCTTTGATATCAATGTCTTTCTTTCTTGCATAAGCCCCAAATTATATTTGGCATGATGCAGAGCCTGTGAAATGACTTTACATCAGTTTTATATGGAGTGTTCTGAAACTGCCCTCATGCGGTACGCTTGCTGACTAATATCCAGGCAGAACTGATCAAAAATAGAAGGTTTGTGCTGCTTTCTTTCTTCTGTTCTGAAGATACATTGGTTAAATATATCTTAACAAAAAGGGAGAAAGAAAATAGCACTTGCATCCTATTTTTGATCACTTCTGTGTGGACAAATATCAGTCAGCAAGTGCAATATGCTTAAGAGTGTCAAAGAACTCTTACTATGTGAGAAAATAACAAATGAAGCTACAGTCCAATATATTTTTGTGTATGCCACAAAGTCAGCATTGAGTTCTGATGATTGCTCGGGCAAGTCCCTACTGTTTTATTGTCAAGATTTCAGAAGTGGTTTGCCATTAACTCTTTCCTAGGACTAACAGAAAGTGATTAGTCAAAGTCACTCAGCTGGGCTTTGTGCTTAAGGCAGAACTGGAACTCATGATATCTTTCTAGGATGGTACCTTAATCACTACATCAAACCAGTTCTCTATAGTCAGATGTAGATATAGATAGAAATGTGTATTAATATCTGTGTGTGCATGCACATGCTGCAAATTGGTCATATTCCAGTAGATATTATTCATTCTTTCATTCATTCACTTCCTCTTATTCACTAGAAATAACTATGGGGCGGAGCCCACATTACTACCTAGAGTTTGAAAAAGTAGCATCTAAGGGAAAAGCTGATGATTGCAATAAAATGCTCTCCAGTCTTTGTAGTTACTAAAATATGCTGTCCACATATACCCAAGCTTTATTCTACTGAAATAAGAAGGCGGGTAACTTGTGCTGTCTTTACAATTTTAATATTAGACAAGTTAAGGAAAGTGGCTGCAGAATTATAAATGCCCCCCCCCTTTATTTTCCCTTTCACCATGTGTTGCCTGCCAGTAAGAAAACAATTACCAGTCACTCTCTCTGATGTGGGGTAGAGTAGACAAGTGTAGAAAAGGAATTGGAACAATTTGCTTAACCACCCATCAATTTGTTGAACAAACCAACTGAAGGCACAGAAGAGTTCCACAAGTGTCACCCGTGTTTAGCATTCCAAAAGGATTACACTTCAGTAGAAAATAATCTCTCTGATAGGGATGCATGGTAGGAGATTGTCAGAAATCAATGTCATCTATTCTCAGTTGAAAGGGAATGGAAGTGCCGATGGCAAATGGCCACACGTAGAAGCCCACGGAGTATACAAGGTAATGATATGCATTCCTTCCTCAGAAACCAAAACAAAAAATAGAATGAGTAAAAAGTGCAATCATGCAAATCAGCAAAAGCAAGGGGGGGAACTACAATGCACTCTTTAGTAACAATGCACAGTCCAGTTATTTAAGCACGAGGATAATGCTCATTCCAAAGAGTGCTAAAGCAAGGTATTTAAGGAGCAGCATTATATGTTGGAAAAAAGTTCAAGGCAGGCATAGTGGTAGCAAGCTCTAGTCTCTTTTGCATTCCATATCAAAATGGATGCACCTGGCAATGGCCGGGAATTGGAGGAAAGGAAGTACAGTATGCTGCCTTCAGTACCTTAAAGTGGTCACTTGTAGCTGGTCAGATCCCAGCCTCTAATTACACTCAATGAAGTATAATTATCAATAAAGTGTATCCATGGCAAAAATTGAGTTGGATTGAAGAGGGAAAGTGCCACTTTAAAACTGAAACATGATTTAAGTGATTTCAGGTACAACCTGAAGAATGAGGCAAAGGCAACCTAAGGAAGACATGTCATACCAACAGTTACTGATGCATATATGTATCGTGTTAGGGGATGCAAGGATAACACCTGGCTTAAGTACAGAAGCTGGGGAAGCTGTATCCAGTGATCAAGATTTTTTAAAGCTTCATAGATCTTGCCTCGTAAAAAGTAAGCAGATCTTATTATGACTAATTTTGTGTGAATCATATTCTTTTTTGCTTCTAATACACCCATTCTCTCTTTTCTTGATGATATATAGCATTTCTCTGCATCTTTCTGCTTTTCCTATCCCCTCATTCCCTTGACTGCAATTAACAAATAATGCTTTATTGGAGAAGGAGAGAAAGAACAATCCACCTTAATCCAAAAGAGCAGTTTCCTGCAATGGCCTATTTATTCACGCTTTTGATAAATGCAATTCAGAATGGTTTTTAATTAAGTGGGGCTAATTGAGGAAACCATTGAGGCTCATAGCCACTAAAATTGGATACAACATTATTTTATATCTCTTCTTTTTTTTTAATCAAAATTGTTGCCAGGGCTTTGGAACAACGAAAAAAATGAATTCTAGCATCTGCCTTTATATAAATACACTGAGAACTTTATCAGTACAACTGTCAACCATATTTTTTTATAGGTGCTAAATCTACATCCTAAATCACATCTTCAGGCAACAAGGTCAATAATTACTACATGAGAGAATTATCCCTCCCATGCACCCATATCTACCTAATTTCAACTTGTGTACTGACATTTTACATTTATCCTCAGTGTAGCCTGGGCCTTAATCTTTTTTTTAAAAAAAATCAAGCATGTCTTTTTCTGAATATTTGTATAATTAAATTTCTATGACTGGCACTATATGTTGTGCTAAATTCCATGAAGTATAATTGAGCACATATGCATAAGAACAGACTGGAAATATCTTGTCAAGATTGCAGCGTTTGTTTAAAACACCAGGGTTAGGTCTGCTACTGGATGGACAACATAAAGCTTTTGTAAAAGGACAATATAGGAAGAGAAGGCTTGCAATTGCCCATCATCATCCTCTTTCTGGAAACAAAAGGGAAATCCAATGCTTAGTTTGCAGAATATATATTTTTCATTGGCAGGGCTGTTCCCAGGCAGAGGAGCAAAAACAGGAGTAGAGCAAAGTAAAGCTCATTTGATCCTCAGTGCAAAGGGGAGAAGCAGTTCTTTACCCTTATGGAGTCAGCCTTTCTTTTTTTCAAACATCCTCAAGCCATTTTCTGATTAATTAAAACAATCTGACGTAAACATGTCAATTGGTATTTTGCTTGCAAGAGGCCTAAGTGCCAGCATAATACAAAGGGTTATTAAGAATTCCAGTTGCCAACTGGCCAGAGAAAAAACAAAACTTGTTCTTACACATTCACTGTAGAAAATCTTGCTATTATTTGCAAGTCCTGCAGGTCCTGACCTGGAATGGTTAATTTTGACTCCTCTAAGATAGGGCCCACATTACAACTTTCCCTGGACTTGAAGCAAGCCCTGATCTTAGAGGACGTTAAAAATATACTTATTCATTCAGTCCATTTCAAGTTTTTTTAAGCATTATATTTCTTGACTTATGTCTCACTATCTTTACATGCTATCTAGATATGTTAAAGAGAGAGAACATATACATTTTTAAATAAATAAAAGATATTTCTCTCTGGTGTAGTGATTCCTTCTGGACATGTTAGGCTGTAACAGCTTGCAAATGGAATATCATCTATGGGTTCTTTTGTTCTTGATGACTACTTTATACCAAGAATTCTGCACAGTGAAATCCCATCGCATCTGGAAGTTTCCGATTTGAGAAATATTGATCTATTCTTCAAAACACATTACCAATACAGAGTGTCATACATCCAACTAAGCCACTAACAGCAGCTTTTGTCACGCTCATGAAAATCCATGGGCTGGGCTGCTTTCATGAAGAGCAGAAAGATGCTGAGCTTATACAAAGTGTGAAGAAATTCTTCCAAATGTACTAGTATTAAAATAAGAATAGATATACATAATGAATACGATGGTAAGCTTTTATTATGACACAAAAAATTATATCCATACGACACATTGTTTAATGAAAGATGAAACGTTTGTATTAAAAGAAAATAAAAATTAAAAAAAGAAAAATTCTTCCAAATAATTTTTCAAATATGCAACCCCAATAAGAAACTTTACCAGATTTCTTATAATCCAAAATGTTCATTTTATAATGACTAAGTCTCCTTAAAGAAAACTGCGCATGTCCAGACAATGCAGAATCTCTAGACCAGGGGTATCAAACTAGTGTCGTCATGGTGGCATCATGTGACATATTGTGACCTTTTCCCCTCTTCGCTAAACCAGGCATGGGCATGGCCAGTGCATGATCCATCCAGCTCATGGGCCGCGAGTTTGACACCCCTGCTCTATACAATCCTATCTGACCTCCTGAAGAGCTGTTGCTGGTCTGTAAACAAATGAATTAGACAGCAGCAATTTAGTAATTTCTAGATTTATTTAATTTGCCATTTAAGCAACAGGTATATGGGCAATGAATGAAACATATGAAAAGCCTCTTTCTAAAACCAAATAGTTGAAAATAGCAATTTAATTTTCTAAAACTGTATTTTGAAGTTGAAAGAAGCTTAAGACATACAATCTGCTTAATAAGCAGACGAGATTTCATATTTTATGAGTGCATATATGTAATACATGGTATAAGAAATGTAAACCAGATACCCTTTGGCATATGGATGGGTTTAATATTTTCTTATATTTGTTTTGAGTTCACATTTCATATATGGTTAAACCAATTCAATTATTTGGATAAATTTCAATTCTTGTTTTTATTGTCTTTAAAATGCCTCTCAGAACTGTGGTTAACTTTTTCCTGTTTTCACTGTCCTGGTATTTTTCACATGCAGAACACAATTCTTACTTTTCGCCATGCTGCCTGGGCGCTATGGTTAAACATATTTGGAATTACCAAGCTGGGGAAGTGAATTTGTTCTGTTTGGCTGGGGAACAGAATATTGCCAAAACACTGCCACAACAACATTGTTGTAACAGTGCTTCTCTTTTGAACATTTCCCCCCCCCCCCAAATTCCTGTGGTGCCTATAGTATTAATTTTATAAATACGAATTTACTGCTTCTCTGACTTTTCATACCATTTTCTAATGTTTTTATTCATAACTATAGTTAAATACAGGGAATTTCTCATCTTATGACCAGGAATAGGTTGTATGGATTTATATATTAACTGCCAGCTTAACTCACCTGTTTTCTCCAGGTAAGAAAAATCACTCATCTACGATACGAAGACTTGATTCTGCCCTTCACAAAATCCTGGAATTCACCTCCCTTGCTAAATTGATTTTCCTCCCATTGGCTCTGATTGTTCAGAGCCACACTTCTAATAGGAAGTAACTGTTGTGTAGGAAGTTCTCCCTCTGGTCCTCTTAACTAGGGGGTGCTATACATTTCTCTGATTGGCCACTGGTTTGACAGCCGGTATTTAAAGAGCTGTCAAGCAGGGTTTCAGCTGTTGGCGTTAGCTGAAAGACACGCGTTGTAAGCTGCTGCGTTTGGCAATCTTGTTAGAAATAAATCTGTTAGCTTTTGAAATCTGGCTCACCTCAGTTATTGACCCCGTGGTTCTCCCAGCTAGAACAATAACTTAAATAATAAATTGCATAGTGGATGTCCATTGTTTCTTTTACTCTTAAGTGGTCTTTCTGTCTGTCTGTCTGTCTGTCTATTTGTGATGGTATATTTTTCTAAACACTGCCCAAATAAGCCTTGAAATGGTTTTACAATAACCATGAAGCATGTCTTGTGACAGAATTTTTTTAGAATTACAGCTAGGAATTCAAAGACATCTGTCTTACCTGTGCGGTGAAGAAAGCAGGGGTCAAGGATCCTGAGGGAAGCGCAGGGCTATTGAGGGCAATAGAGCCGAGGTCAGTACTTGAAAGAACCATTGGAGATGCGGAGATCTCTAAGCCTTTGGGTTTCTTAGCCTTTGGAGGAAGAGAATGAGATTTTACTTTGGATCCGGAAGAAAGATTCAACGGCTCAAGAGAATCTGAATCCTGGCAAGTAGACTCCAGATAGATGTTTCTGTGTTCTGAGGGAAGGGGTGAGTTAGGTGAGAGAGATGGTGATCGAGAGGAAATTGATGAAGCTGAGGATATGCTAGTTGTGTTGGGCAACATTAAGGATGATACTTTTGCAGAGACAGAGGATGCTAAAAATGGAGAAGCATTTGCTGCTTCAGATGTAGATGGCAATGACACAACAGGCCTCATGACTTGTTTGTTTGTTTTGTTTGTCACAAATCTAATAACAGTCCGGACTTCTTCCAGAGGTGTGGCATCTTCCAATTTCTCCTCCAGCTTTTCTGTTTTAATTTGCTTGACAGTTTCTGGCTGATTTTGTAAGGAATTGATGGTGAAAGATGAGTACAGCCCCGAATGAATGTATTCGTTGCGGCTTGTGCCTTTCAAGACTGGGAGATTATGCTGTTCTCGGCTCTCCAGAGGTATCTTGCAGTTGCTGTCCTGCAGCAAAAGGCTTTCTCTGCTGATTTCCACAGCATGAGGATCCATCTTTAAGATTTCCGGAAAAGAAACAAACTTGTACACAAACTTCTGACCAATCACCTTCTTGATAATATTCTGCACAAAATATCAAAGCAGGTATGAAAAATATGTAAGTGACTTGACAAAATAGCTCAAAGTAGTACAAGTGACTGACTGACTAAATAAAGAAAAGACCCCAAGTTCAATCCTGGCACCTCTGGATAAAAATATTGGGAGAATGACATTGTCACAGACTTCAAAAAGCTGTTGTTAATTCAATCACCAGCACTGGGCTTTAGGGTCAAAATGGTTTAATATAAGATGGGATAAATTTTGTTAACAGCTCCTCTTCACAGAAAATTCTGGATTTTCTTGTCACTCTCCCTTTCTCCCTTTCTTTTCTAACCTTCCAAAACATAATTTTTAATATACTCAAAACACTGTTCTTTCTTTTTAAGCTACATACAACATTGTCTTTTCTTACTATCCAGGATTATTGTATTTTTTTTTAATAGAGTCATTTTATATTCCATCCTTATCAATTTGCCTAACAGCGATGTATTGGATGGGCACCATTCTAATTGCCCCTAAAATGCTCTTAAAAGAAACACAAGATATTACAGGATTATAATACCATATAGTCCTCAATTTATGACTGCAATTGAGCCCTAACTTTCTGTTGATAAGCAAAACAGTTTTGCCTCATTTTATCACCACTTTTGCCAAAGTTGCTAAATGAATCTCTGCAGTTGTAAAGTTAATAACACAGTTGTTAAGTGAATCTGGCTTCCCCGTTGACTTTGCGGGTCAGAATGCTGCAAAAGGTGATCACATGACCCCAGGACATTGCAACGATCATAAATATGAGCCAGTTGCAAAGTATCTGTATTTTTATCATGTGTCCATGGGGATGCTCCAATGGTCATAAGTGTAAAAAAAACTGTTGTAGGTCACTATTTTCAGTGCAGCTGTAACTCTAAACAATCCCTAAACAAACTGTTGTAAGTTGAGGACTAACTCTATAATTCTATTTTTTGTACCAGAGTCTTTTACTACTATGCCACCATACCATAAAAAGGCTGTGGAACCCTTTGAAAGAAGTGCTTCAGAAAGCATAGAAGGGCATACAAAGTGCCCCTTTTCAAATTCTTAAGCAGCTGCCACTTTTTCATGTTCACACAGCTGCTTCCCAAGTGCTTCTGGCTGTCTCTGCATTCAGGCATTAGGCAGAGCCAAGTGGCCTTGCTTGCAAATCGTGCGGGGCCAGCTGGGAATTGCTTCCAAAGCAGCCGTGTAAGCTCTCTTATAACATCATATTATTTATATAGTGCTATTCCAACAATGAAATTAATATTTTATTTTACAATTTTAAAAAGTCATGTAAATTACATTAGAAGAAGGGTTTTTTTGTGTTTTGTTCTACTGTAAAAGGATAAACACCAAAATATGCGGCAAAGAATTAGAAAATTTAAAAGAAAAGAAAAGAAATTAAAAAAATTACCACAAGTGCATTGAAAGGAAAGCATCCCTGTCTCTGGGTCGGAGAAACCAGGTGCATCATATATATAAGACTATTTTTGTTTACCTAAAATTTTAAAAAAATTAAATACCTTGTCATAATAATATCTCAGCGCTCTGCTCAGTTTATCATAATTCATGTTAGTTTTGTTTTTTCTGAGTCCCCACAGCTTAGCAACCTCTTCTGCCTTAAGTAACTTAAATTCACCATCATTGGACGTCCAGCAAATCAGGTGTTCGTGTTTCTGATCAAGAAGCAACTGCAACAGGAATTGCCACAGTGTGATTGCACTCTCCATGCCTACAATAAACCCAAAAAATAAAAGGAGGAGAATAAAGAGAATGTGAATATTGCTGCACTCAGAAATGGGCAAGCCGCTTGAAAGTTAGCCTACAATTTGCAGGACCTGTTTTTGAGAACTCCTTCATCGTGTTGTCTAGATTGACACTGGAGGAAAAAAACCATAGTAAGCTATTAAAAAAACACGACCATGCTTTCCCACTAATTCCACTATAAAGTACATACAATGATTTAATGTAATTTAATTTTCTCAGTTTTAAAAAAGAAAATGAGGAAACACAGATAAAACCATGTCAGTTCTTATCCTCTATTAGTATTATCACATCACAACTATCACTAGCCAGATTTTTTACTAAAGGGGGATAATTCTAGAAAATGTAACCCAGTTATAAAAGAGATATACATCTGCCTTAAACTCAAATTAGTTTCAAATACAACACATAAGTAGGATTTTATATGTATGTATATACAAGTAGCCCTCGATTTACAACTATAATTGGAACCAGAAATTCATCATAAGTCGTTACTTAAGTTGTAAGTCAAGGACCCATGTGACCAGAAGTAATTTTCTGATCTTTTTTTGCAGTGATCGTAAGCAAACCACTGTCATGGTTATTAAGCAAATACAACAGTCATTAAGTGCATCCAAAAAAATATCACAAATTGCAGTCATGTGACTGTAGAATGTCATGACTGTTCATGAAGCTGACCTGCCCAACATAGCCAGGGATGGTTTGCTTGCTAATAATCCCAATAACTACTTCCAACATTGCATTCATCTATGGTTTATTTAACCAAGGTCAAATATGACACTAGAAAACTATGTTTTATAATCTGGGAAACATGAGTTCACATAAAATAGTACACAATATACAATACACTTAAAGCTGCTTATTACCACAAATGAAATAGAGCCATTTTTCTAAGCTTTAATTTATAAATTAAAACATTATAGGGGACTCTGTTATTCCTGGCAATCACCATAGATCAAGGCGCCTTCAGACAGATAACAATACCACGTTGTTTCAGAGTTGGCCACTGTTGGACCTCTTAATGTCTTCCTATAGAAAAATGAAGTTGAAATTGGTAAGAAAGTATGGGTGGACTGCAAATGGAATTACCCATCTTGTTATAGTTCATTTATGATGCATTGTGTGACTGGGCATCAACACTTCCATTAAAACTTAAATATGACCAACAGCTTCCCTGCGGAGTCTGACCTGAACCCCTAATACCTTTTAGCAAGCTGAAGCCACTTTTGTTTCAGTGAACATTGTCCTCCTTTGACTTTTTAGCTGTTGTAATTAGTTGCAATATCTGACTTTATATTTTACTGTTTGTAGTAGTTCCATTGAGAAACCCCTCAAGCATACATCAGTGTATGTAGAAAAAATAAAAGTTATTTAAGAAAATATGAGTTCGTGCAAAAGTAAAAACCCTAAAACGTTTTTTCATTTAGTCCAGAATAATTTCCAATTTAAATAAAATACACTTTCATCAGTAACCCATTAAAAATATATTATGTATAAAAATAATAATAATCCAAAGGAGACATATTAACCTTTGCAATTTTTTTAATTGTTTATTATTTTGTTTTGGGGATGGTACTTAAAAGTATGGAAAATGTTGACCAAAAAATTGAATGCAACAGCAAAGTCTTAATGAATCCCTAATTAATAATTACTTTATTCATATTTAGGTAACATTTTTGGTAGATAGACAAAGTAACACATTTTTCCACAGACATAGTGAATAGATTTTAAAAATATTTAATGTAATCTTAAAATTACAAATTCCATATAATTATGTGTATTTAACTTTACATTTTTGTGCTTTATTTTTGCTGCTTGCTTATTAGTGATTTTCTTAAGCTATACATTTTTGAAAATTATCCTTATCATATTTTTAATATGTTTAAACTCAGAGTCAGGCTTGGTTAGATGTTTGGCTCTAAAGTACTCTTGCTGAATATTAGGGTCTGCTAGGAAATCTCAGAATTATAGACTCACCTGGCAAAGTTAAAAAACACTCTTGGCAAACCTATTTTTTCTTGGTGCCAAGGTGACTGCACAGACTTGTCCATTATGGCACCCAGAATCCAACTCATCGCCAGAGCTTTTAAACAAACCAATAAGGGAGAATATTTGTAGCTCAGGGTTGAAATGAGGTGGTGCTTTCCTTGGTGCTTTCTGAGCTTGCTTATTTTCTTGCAGATGTTTCATTACCCAAACTGGGTAACATCATCAGTGCTACCAGCTACTAGTCCTTACTAGCATTGATGTTGTTATCTATTTAGGATAATGAAATGTCTGCAAGAAAACAAGCAAGTTTAGAGAGCACCAAGGACCCCACTTTTAAACAAAGATCATTGAACATGTCTGCCACTAGATGGCACACGATTTCTGTCTCTATATACTATCCAATCTTTTGTAATCGTTAGGCAGTAAAAATTTCACATTTCTTCTGCAAGATCTTAGATAAACTACACAAAGAACCACTTCATATGATTTACAAATGTATCAGGCCTTAGTGCAACAGAGACAGAATTTTAAATTGCTTGTGTATGTATTACATGTATGTATATATGTCTGTCTGTCTGTCTGTGTCTGTGTGTATAACACATATCTATATTTATGGAAAATAACCAAGTAATCAAAAATGTTTTATTAACTTCCATTTATTGCCAAGGCAATTTACTGAGGAAAATACTGAACATACAAGAATATCAATTCCCACTTTCAGCATTTTTATAGGCACGTTGTTCAAAAAATATATCTCTGTTGTTGTTTTTTACTGCCCCAAAAACTTAAATTCCCCTACAGGCAGTGGTGGGATTCAAATAAATTAACAACCAGTTCTCTGCCCTAATGATTTCTTTCAACAACCAGTTCACTTAACGGCTCAGAAAGTTAACAACTGGTTCTCCCGAAGTGGTGCAAACTGGCTGAATCCCACCACTGCAGGGAGCAAGAAATACCAATGGGGGAATCAGAGGCAGTAATTTGTTCCATTTATTGCCATCCATATAATGCAAAACAATAGAGGTTAAGTAGAGGTTTTAAAGGCATTCTAATTTCTCATAATACTTTAGCAATTCAAAGTAAATTCTAGAGATTAGGGGTAGCCCCAGGTCTGTGCTAAGATAAAAGTAGCAGGAATGCCCTGAGGGTAGCCCCAAATCTTCCTTTATATAAACTGCAGTGTAGCAGAAGCTATCCTGGACCCATTATGAGAAACCTAGCTTTCTGGAGAAGTCTACAGGTGAAACCCGAAAAATTAGAATATTGTGCAAAAGTTCATTTATTTCAGTAATGCAACTTAAAAAGTGAAACTAATATATGAAATAGACTCATTACATGCAAAGCAAGATAGTTCNAGCAGCTGGGCCCACACACCTGCCCTGGCGCTATCCCACCCTATATAATCGCCAGTTTTTTGATGCCGCGTGCATGCACAGAAGGTTTCGCATGTGCACACTCAAAATTTGCACACTCAAATTTTCGGTTCTGGGCAAACCGGTTGTTATAGTATGTGATGCCCACCTCTGAGCAAAAGCCATAATTGGAATGGGCATAATCTATCAATCTCCATATCTGTTTATAACTATATGCGTCTGTCTGTTTCTCTGTCTGTCTATCTATCTTCTTTCGTTTTTAAGAATTTTCTTAATTCTTCCAGCTTTTATGCATCTGCTTTTATTAAAGAACTTTTCTCCTAGCAATAAACTTATTATTTATGACAGCTATTTTTATTCTACATTGCAAGATACCAGTTCAGCCAAATTTACTTACGTACAAGTCATATCAACAATTATAACTTAATACACAACAAAACATCTGGGTGAGAAGAAAGAGGAAAGAGGCCAACTTTTTCCATTTTTTTCCCCATTATTTTTCCATTCTTTCCATTCCTGGTGCCATTGCATGATTTGCCTAATGTTATATCCAGAAAAACATTTTTTTTAAAACCTGAAATTTCACAAGAACACCAAACTCTAGAAAGATTTCTTTTGCTTTTAGCATGTATTTTTATTTAATTTGGAGATTCAGGCAAACTTTTAATATAATATTTTAATATAATATAGCCTATAGCAGTAATGGCGAATGTTTTTCTGCTCAGGTGCTAAAAGGGTGCGTGCCCAGACCCATAATGCAATGCCCTCCCCCAAGCATGCATGCACAACCCCCCATGCTCCCCCCCAGCGTATGAGCGCAGGCCTCACTGAAGCCTTTGGACTTCCAATAGGCCCGTTGGGCTGTTTTTCGCACTCCCCAGGCTTCAGAAAAGCCACCTGAAGACTGGGGAGGGTGAAAAATGGCCCAACAGGCCTACTGCAACTTTAGAAATGAACTTTTGGTTTGCCCCTTAGACCATTTTTCACCTTCCCCAGGCTTCAGGAAAGCCTTTGTGGTCTGTGGATGTAAAAAATGGTCCAACGGGCAAACTGGAAGTTCAGAAACGTTTCTGAACTTCCGGTAGGCCCATTGGGCTCGCTTTTCACCATCCACAGGCTACGGAAGCTTTTCTGAAGCCTGAAGAGGGCAAAAAACTGCCTTTCCCTGCCCTCCAGAAGGCTGAAAATCAGCTGGCCAGTGCACACATGCATGCTGCAGCTGATATAGAGCAACGCCTTGCGTGCCCTCAGATATGGCTCCGTGTGCCACCTGTGACACGCGTACCATAGGTTCGCCATCATGGGTCTATACCATATTTGATCCAGGAGAAGGGCCTGATATTTGCTAACAGCATTAGTATTTATCCCAATTTTCGTAGGGTTTAGTTTCTATTTTAAAAACATTACTTTTCACTTGAATACTTAATATACTCTTTGTGAGATAGGCTGGCATATAAATGTGTGTGTGAGAGAGAGGGGGGGGGAGGGAGAGAGATCTCCAAATAATCCATGAAAGTACATAGAATCTTCCATTTATACGGGAGTAAATTCCCCTGTGAGGAAATTGCTTTAGAGTAGGATTATATAGAGAGCCAGTTGGGTGTAA